ACCATGTACATATATGTTTTTTAGCACAAAAGTGAATCTTGGATGCTGGTAGAGAAGGCTGAGTAACCAGAAAATGCTGGGTTCAGATGTCCCTTGTGCCTCTTACTAGGTGTTCAACCCTGAGAAAGTCATTCAGCCGCTCTCAAGGTCAGTTCCTCCGATCAAAGCGAGCTGTGCATCAACCAGATGCTGTGTCTTTAGAGAAAATATATTCAAAGTAAGCAGCATATGGCATGATTATAAACGTTATTAAAGGTAGCTGCAGCTGGGCATGGTGGCACATACCTATAATCCCAATTCTGGGAGGCAGGAGAATGAAAAATTTGAGCCTAGCATGGACAATTTATTTATTTATTTTTTTTTGTCTTTTTCGTTTTTATCGGTACCAGGGATCGAACTCACGACTGCCTGCTTTCAAGGCAGGCGCTTATGCCGCTGAGCTAAATCCCCAGCCCCAGCATGGACAATTTAGCAACTTGGCATTGATCTGTTTTGAAGCAGATCAATAAAAAGGGCTGGGGATATAGTGCAGTAGGAAGTATTGGGTTCGTTTCTTAACCCAATCAATCAATCAATCAATCAATCAAAGGTAGCTATTACAACCATATCAAAACATTTACTCTGATTTACTTTATCTTGTTGTCCATATTATATGTTATATATCTATATTATATATAGATATTTAACCTATTATTGAAAAGTTATGGGAGTTTAATAAATAAGTACACAGCTCTAAAAAATATTCTTTTCACTTTTCATAAGATGATCTCTAATATGCCATTCCACTTTTTAAATTTTGTGATTATGGCTTTTGCAAGCATTGAAAAAAATCACTAAATTAAAGATGAGTTTATTTTAGACTGTGGGACTTCATTATATTTTTAAAGGCCAGAGAAAATGTTCAACTTAGACATTTTCATGACTGGAAGAGTTTATAAAGCTTCACCTTTTTACCCTTGGACATGCCAGTTGATATTTAGACCCAGTACTGTTCGAATATCATCTAAAATTCTATTTACATTTCAGCTTTCTCTGACCCTTGTATTCTTTTTCCTAAACTATTGAAGAAGTTACTTATAAATCTTTTAAAATATCACAGCATAATTGCAGAGATACTTTAGTTGTAGATTATATCCATTATGTTCTCATTACTGTAACATGTACCTAAGATCAGCTTATAAAGAGGAAAGTTTTGGTTTGGCTCGGTGTTACAGGTTTCAGTCCGTGGCCCACTGGCTTTGCTGCCCTTGGACTTGTGATGAGGCAGCACATCGTGGGGGAGCATGTGGAGGAGCCTCAGCACCAGGACAAGAGAGACAGGGACAGGAACAGGGACAGGGAGAGGAGGAGGGAGTCTTGGTTCCCACAATTTCCTTCAAGAACACATCCCCAGTCACTAGAGGACCTCTGGCTCTGCTCCAAATCTCCAAGATTTCATCACCTCCCTATAGCACAATTTAGGGGTACAAGCCTTTAATTTGGAGGCGTTTGAGGGACATCTCAGACACACATTTTATAACAAAGTTACAACAGCAGATGAATCCTAAAGTCCCAATTTAACCTCTTCTGTCCTTCTTTTCTTCTTTCTTTCCTGTCTCCCTCCTTCTCTTTTTCCTTCCTTCCTCCCCTTTTCCTTTCTCCCTACTTCTTCCCTTCCTCCTTCATTCCTTCCTTCTTTCCTTTCCTCTTTCCTTCAACAATATAAGTTTACTCTTTTGAGAGATTTAATATATATTTGGACTGTGAAAGATTTGAACATGCTAGTTAAAAGATAATGTTTTAAAATTATAAGTACATTATGACTGGTGCTATGTTTACCTTTTGTATGTGGTCACTGTAAAAACAATACAAAATTAGTCAGAAGAAATGTTTTTTAAGTGACTACACATTTCATCACACTAAGCAATTCTGTGTCTGATTACTTTCAGTACATGTTCTTGTTTTTGGGAAATTTCAGTCGGTTTGTGTGTGTCTAGGTATATAACACCTAAGGAAGGTCCAATAATTTACACATTTAGCCATTTTTCTATTAGAATTCTTGGTTATAAATTTTTATTACAAAAAATATTGTGATGAATCTTTTCAGGTATATGACTTATCGATATAGAATTATTTCCTTATGATAAATTAATAGTAGAGAAAATGCCTAGATAATAAAAATAAAACATTATAGACATCACAGCTCTTTAGTGCTATATTGTTTTCCAAAAGAGTGTGTGTGTATATATATATGTGTGTGTGTGTGCTAAAATACAGTTTTATACATATTTCAGATGTTACCTGTACAAGAGCATTCCAAAGAAATACCTTTTTATCATAAATTACCTAAACATTACATAAAATAATTAACTTTTACCAATCTGTATTTCTTCATTTTTTCCACTATAACCAAGAGTAGGTTTAGAGGTAATATCTCTCATTCAATTTAAAAGGACAGTTTGACATCATATGTCTGTAATACCAGCTACTCAGGAGGCTAAACAAGAGAATTGTAAATCTGAAGTCAGTCTGGGACAACTAGTGAGATCCTGCCTCAAAATAAACAATAAAAATGGGCTATGGATGCAACTCAGTATCCTTGGGTTCAATCTGCTGGGGGAAAACTTTAAGTCAAGGTCACAATGAGATATTAGTTGTTTTAAAAGTTAAATATCATGGCTGGGGATTTAGCTCAGTGGCATAAGTGCCTGCCTTGCAAGTGTGTGGTCGTGAGTTCAATCAATCCCCAGTACCAATAAAAAAGAAAAAGACAAAAAAAAAAAAATAAAAATAAAAAAAAAAAAAAAGAAAGAAAAAAAAAGAAAAGAAAAAAAAAAAGAAAAAAGTTAAATATCAGCTAGTTTTCTGGTCTGGTTTATTGTCTTCCAATAATAGCCATAATTTACTAAGTTAACTAGATCTAAATCTATTAAATATACTTGTCATATTTTTCTTAGCTATGGAATAATTGAATTAAGCTTATAATCGTTACAAGGATGGACAAAAAGAAAAACACTCAGTTTACAGCCTGTAAGACTGCAACACCATTTTACCAATTACTCTACTACCCTCTAGTGGTGTTATAGTCACAGTATCCTCCAGGTCAGAGCAGAGAGACAGACAGAGACAGTCACAGACACAGACCTGGAGTCGGAGAGGCAGGGAGGGAGAAAGGAGGAAAAAGAGAAGGAGGGAGGGGGGAGGTCGTCAGGGAAGACAAGAGAGAGCAACCCTTAAAGGGAAGTGCCTTTTGACTGGTATTCCTGCTCCCTGTACTCCCTAATCCTATAGCTTAAATATAGGGCTCTGCCTCTGTACAGGGCTATTCCATGGCTCTCAGTTTCTAGAACCATAAGCACAGTTACATTTTAGAGACACTGAATAGAAGCTGGCCCAGAGTGGAACAAACCAGAGTCATTAATACGACAGTATAAATTTACAGAAACCCCTGAAACTGTAGAAGAAAGATAACTGGGTTAAAGGTAAAAATCTAGCGTTGCCGCTGTGAAAAATGTATATTTATATTGAATGTAAAATGGATATAATGATTTACTTGCTGTTTTTACATAAGAGTTTAATTTTTTTCTTTGATCAGTGTCTTTGGTTAGCAGAGAAGACCCTACATTCCCTATAGTAGTTGTCTGGGGCAGTTTTCATTTTAAAAGTGAACTTTAGATTTTAAAAGTTAACAGGGGGCTGGGGTGCTGCTCAGTGGCACAGCATTTGCCTTTTGCAGGAGGCCCCTGGGTTTGATTCTCAAGTGGCTGGGGGTTGAGAGAAAAAAGGTTGGGTCAGGCAGGAAGTCTCAAACTGCTACACTGCCATCACGAATTCCAAACATCCTGACACGGTCACATAGGAACAAAATTTGTCTAGGCTAAGTACTCAGATAGGGCCACATGACGAAAGTGGCTCATTGTGTAGAAAGACATTAAACATTTAAATGGAAGCAGTTAATCAGTTTCATTCTTTATCCTGAACTAGGTCTTCTAAGACTCGTTTGTAAGACGTGCGGTTATCGCTCTGTTCTATTTGACATCTAAATTCAAGGCAAAGAGAAATTCATGCTAAGTGGATTCTTATTACTCCAACTCTGTTTTACTGCTTTATTTTCTTAAAAGAGTTTACAATGATGTTGAAGAGCAGAAATCGCTCTTAAAGTATGATGGAGAACAATGAGAGAACTTTCAACACTGGATTAAAAACGATTTAAACATAATTTAGATCCTCCCTCTCTGTCTCTCTGTCTTGGTGGTTTTGGGGACTGAATTCAGCAGTGCTTTACCACTGAGCTGACTACATCCTTAGCTCTTTTTTCTCTTTTAAAATTTGTTTTTATTTTTAAGCAGGGTGTCAGTAAACTGCTCAGCCTGACTTTGAAATTGTGATCCTCTGGCCTCAGCCTCTGGAGTAGCTAGGATTACAGGTGTGTATCATTGTGCCCTGATGAATTTTTGTATTTTTAAAGAATTTTTTCTGGAAAATTCTAAAATTTCTGATGTGAAGGTGCTTTAACATTTAAAATACTTTTAATTGTTAATTTTTCAATAAGTAAAAATTTAAAATAAAGTTAAAAACTAAGTACATATATATATAATTGGAAATGTTTCTTTACATTTTTGAGAATGTCTTTCATTTTTCCATTAATTCCTACTACTTTATTAAGGTTCCTCAAATACACTCCTGAAGTATTACAAATAAGAAAATAGAATCTCAGTGTAGGTGCAATATCACTTTTGTGATGAGATATTGGACGGCAATACATTTTAACTGAGCCAATACTGGCCGAAAAAAATTAAAAACAAAGACTGAGCAATCAGCAGCTTCTGGATAACGAGAAACAGTAGGACGACGCTCTCCTGAAATAAAACACCTCAGATTCTGTCTGCGCCCGCCTTCCTGGTTTTTCTCTAGCCGCCGTTTCCTCTTTCTTTCGCGCTCGGGCTGCACAGGAAGCCCCGCCCAAGCATAGCAGGGCTCTAATTGGCTCCTTTGAAAGTCTACGGATTATCTGATTGGTGGGTCAAGGCCCCTTTAGCGCGGCGAGTTTGAAACTGCTTGCACTTAACTTCAAAGGCTGGCACTGGCAGGTTCTCTGAGGAGAGACACAAGCGAGGTAGCTTGAGGTAGCTACAGCCGCGGCCCGCTGCGGGACGATACCTGGGTAGAGTAGCTGGATTCAGGGTCGGGCTTGTGGGGCATCCCCTCGGCCGAGCGTTGAGAAGCTCACGGCTTTCCGGAGGCCAGGCTGGACCGCAGGACCTTCACCGGGACGCGGCCGGGGCCTGGGCCTGGGCGTGGGGGCGGCGCGGGGCCAGGCTTTTGAGGGTCTAGGGAGCCGAAGTTTGCCTGGCCTCAGTGAATCTGAGGCCTGGTCGCTCCTCTAGGAGAGGCCCCGACCGGCCCCAAAGGGCGCTCAGAAGCCTTGGGTCCAACCACGCCAAGGGCCTGCGAAGTGCAGTTCGCCTCAGGCCCTCTCTCCCGCGCGGGGTGGAAATCAGGATTCACTTGGGTCGGGTGAGACCACCCTGGCTTCCTGAGACCCGCGTCTAGGGCCAGCGCCTCCTCGGCCTCCACGCTGGGCCTGGGTCCTGGTCCCTGTGTCCTCCCGGAGCTTCGAACTGGGAACGCTGTGGCAGGGCGCAGAGCCGGAAGAACCTGGGAGCGCCTTTCCTTCATTGTTCCCTGTGGAGCACTGTAGGGTTGGCCGGGAACGAAAAAGCTAAGAAAGGACGACAGGAACATTTGTCTCTCTTGTCCTGAGTCTTTTCTTGAATACTGAAGTTAACCAGTGTGCATGTCTTGCGCCCCCTGAAGACCCAGAGGTCTTTGGGAACCGAGATGCAGACCCGGTTGTTTCACATTCCGTGGTTGTTGGGATAGAGACCGCCTCGGGGCTCCAGTGACTTAACTCTAACTTGACTGAACACTGATTTTATTATCAGTGATGAGTGACTGAAAAGTCACGGTAATTATTTTTGGACTTGGCAAACTTACTTAGCTTAGGAATTCTTTCGAATGTCTGGTTATTAATTTTTTTTCTTAAACCACTCTTTGTGATTCAAGTGTGGGTTTTTTTTTTTAAACTTGGTTCCTCATATTTTGTACAATATAATTAGAATTTTGTCTGTGGGATTGAAAATTTCATTCTTCTGAGGTGCTTAGTAGCATTTTGCACTTTTGAAAGTCTTGAGTATGTTTTTTTCTGTGACTGCAAAAACATAAAAACTCAAACTGTAAATACAGTATTTAAATATTATTTCTAATGACTTAACAATCAACACATCCCTTCTAGTGACTTTAAAAATTTCTTTTGAAAAATGTAAAGCAGTATAAATTCAAATAACACTTTCGAAATTTTTGAATATAACATTATCACACCCTTTTACCAAAAAAAAAAAAAAAAAAAAAAAAAAGCATTCTTTGGGGAGAAAAGAATGTCTGAATTTAAAAGTATTTCAAAGTTGCTAAGCGCTGTATACTGTATTGAATATACAAATGTTTTAGTAGCTGATAAGGGTCAGAAAGTCTCATTGAAGGAGTCTTTACCCTTGTAAATGTTGTTTTAATGTAATAAGTAATATTTATGGAATACATACTTATGTATTGCAGAAGACACTGGAAAATGCTTTATATGTAGTGTCTCTTGTTCTTAAAACTACTCTGAGTTAGTGGCATCTAATCAAATCAGTTTTTTCTCTTGTTTCAGCATCTGTCATACCTGTCGAATAAGCATGGAAGACTACACTAAAATAGAGAAAATTGGAGAAGGTGAGTGGTTTTTGTTTTGTTTTGTTTTGGAACCAGGACCTCGTGCTTGCCAGGCAAGCACTGTGCCACTGAACTATGTATCATCTGGCCCTTGTGAGTAGTTTTAATAATATACTAATTTTAAGAAATTATTTAACATTGCTACTTCTGTAACATTGAGAACACATAAATATTAAGATACAACCATTAAGATGTTTTGTAAGGGCTGGGAATTTAGCTCAGTGGCATAAGCGCCAGCCTTGCAAGCATGCGAGTTCCATCCCCGGTACAAAAAAAAAAGTTTTGGCTGAGTGTGATGGTATGTACCTATAATTTCCGCATTCTGGGAGAGTGAGGCAGGAGGACAGTTCAAACCCACCCTGATCAATTTATGGACTTACTAAGATCCTGTGTCAAAATACAATATTAATAAAGAGGTGAAGATAAGAGTTTAGTGCCAAGATCCTTGGTCCAATTCCCAGTACTGCAATAAAAAGAAAGTATCTTCTATTACTAATATGAATTGATGTGTATTCTTTATGTAATAAATATAAAACTCTTTATATTTCAAGAGTTGAAATCACTCTACTATGACTCCTTGGTGACTCCCTCACACAATATAGATTTTTTTATAATAAACAATTGCGTGTGTTTTGTAGAAACTAATTTGTGTGTGTTGGAAAGACAAAAGTTAGGGCAGTAGTACACAAATTTCATAAAATATTTTTAGTTTTTTACAGTTATTTTTAGTTTATAAAACTGTTTTACCTAAACTGGGTATAACAATTTTTATTTTTGGAACAAGATCTTCCTGTGTAGTTTAGTTCAGTCTTGAATTCACTGTCATGCAGGCAGTCCCTGAATTTAAGGTTTTCTTGCCTCAGCCTTCCAAATGCTGGGATTACCAACATGTAGTACCCCCACCCAGCCTACAATAGTTGCTTATTAAACTAATTTGAAATAGTTTCTAGGTATAAATAATCTGACATGTTTGTGTATAAGACATTACAAAACTGGTAACTTTTAGGCACGATCAATCACTTTCTGTAATTCCTTACAGAATGTTTAGATGTAGCTGGACATGGTGGCACGTACCTGTGATCCTAGTTACTGGGAGGCTGATGCAGGAAGATAATGAGTTTGAGTTTGGCCTGGGTAATTTAGCTCTTACCTCAAAATAGAATCCAAAAGGGCTAGTGTGTAGCTTAGTTGGTAGAGCAGTTGACTAGTATGCATGAGGTCCTAAGCTCAATTCTCAGCACCAAGAAAAAAAAAGATCTGTATAAGATAAGTAAGACATAAATATATCCTTTTGCGTAAGTGTTGTTTGTTTGTTTTTTGAAACAAGGTCTTGGCTATGGAGTTCAGATTGCTCTTGAACTTACTATGTAGCTCAGGCTGGCCTCAAACTTGATAGCAGTCCTGCCTCAACCTCCAAACTGCTGGGATTACAGGTGTGCACCATCACACCCAGCCAGCCAGGGATTTTTAAGTTTTTGCTCTCACAGGACTTTCAATTTGTTTACAGGAATTCTAAAGTGCATATTTACAGCTTTCAAGGAGCAAATAATAAAACTTGTACAAAGTAATTTACTTATAGAGTCCAGTTTATGTGCATTCTGCCTGAGAAATATTTTCATTTTTATTTTGTGCATTCAAAGACCCCCAGTTATACAAGGAGAGGAATATTGTATGGAATTTAGTAAGATAAAATGACCAAGGTTTATTGTTCAGTTGGAGATATATTCTTGTCTTTTTAAAAAGTAAATTCTCTTAGATACATTATGAAATCCATTCTACTATGCTGATTTTGCTGCTGAATTAAAAGTATCAAGTGATAAGCAGTTGTTAGTATTACTGCTATGACCACTGTCTTCACAGCTGTCTGCATTGTAGCCCTCTGGCTAGTCTTACCCATACTCTCTAATTGGAGTTTCTTTGATGTCCTCAAGTATGATCTACCTTTTAACTTAAACTGGCAATGACTATTCTTTCCTCTTGAAGACACCCCATACTGGCTTTATTCTTCATCTCCTTGGTCTTGGCCAAGAGAATTTGGTAGTTTCATTGGCATTATGCCCAGCATCTTTGTTTTTGGTTTGGTCTGGTAGTACTGGGGAATGAACTGAACCTAGGATGTTTGCCTGAAGCTACATCCCTGACCGGTTTTATTTTTCATTTTGTGGTTGGGTCTTGCTAAATGACAAGGCTGCCTAACTACTGGAATACTGGATCCTAACTTGCCCAGACTCCTCTTGAATTTTTCTTCTTGAATTTCTGCCTCAGCCTCCCAGAGCACTGGGATTATGAAAGTACACCACCACATCTGGCCTAATCCTATTTTTAATTGCTATTCAGTCTCAAGCTGCTTGAGACTGAAAGTTTTGTCTTTTTCACAAGTATTTACCTGTTTCCTGACAATGCGTGTAGCCTACAGAAGATACTCAAATATTTGATAATAACATTGTTCTCTTTCTCTTGTGTGTTTTCTTGAATTCCGTCATTTCTTCTTTTTTCTACTATGATATAGTTTTGTCTACTCTAGTGCCTGACTGTTCTGGGGTTCTATATTGGATATTGTTTGAGTTGGGTTGGGGTTTTTGTTTTTTTTTTTTTTTTTGAGACAGCGTCTTGCTATGCAGTTTGAGCTGGCCTTGAACTCACTTTGTATCCCAGGGTGATTTCGAACTCTACATGATCCTCCTGCCTCAATCTCCAGAGTGCTGGGATTACAAATTTGTACCACCACACTTGTGTTTTTGGTTTTTTATTTTTCCTTTTTAAAAGACAGTGTCTCACTATGTAGCCCAGCATGGCCTCAAACTCACCTCTCCATCCTGCCTCAGCTTCCTGAGTGTCACTTGACTGATAATGTTTTTGAAAACTTGTGGAAATAAGAGGTAGATGTCTTACATATAATTTTCTTTTGTTTTCTGCCAAGTACCCGGTCAAACTCTAGTATTTAAATACTGTGATGATTTTAAACATTATTCCTCAACTTCTTTATTTTGAACATTTCTAAACCTCAGATAATTTGAAAGATTTATATGACGAACCTATAATATCTTCACAAAGATAGTAGTGGTTTGTCACACTTTCTGCGTGTACATTAGCAATTTTTCTTTAAGTAGCATAGATGGGCTTTACTCCCAAACACTTCTTTATGTATCTTTTGAAGATTCACCAAAGGTTATGCGTTTCATTTGGCGGTTTTGCCTTGATTTTTTTCTAATTTAAAATCCTTTCTTTTGTTTGTTCATCCGTGTCTGTGTGTGGTGTTACTGGAAATTAAACACAGGGGCTCTGCACTGGACTATCTCAAAGCCTTTAAAAACATTTTTTTAAAAAAAATTTTTTTGGGAGTGTCTCTCAAGGTGGCAGACTGGGCTTGATTTTCTTTTTCTTTTTCCTTTGTTTGGTGATGCCAGTGAGCAAACCCAGAGCCTCATGAATGCTACTCATGTGTCACTAAGTACATCCTTGTCCCTTGTTTTGAGACAGAAGTTTGGTAAATTACCCAGGCTAGTCTTGAACTGTAGATCCTCCTATGCTGACCTCTAGGGTAGTTTGGATTTCAAGTGTGTACCATCATACTTGGCCTAATTTATTTCTTAAATACATCTAGACTTTTATTTTGGATTTTACAAAGTTGTTTTTTAGTTTCTGATTTTAAAAAGTCTTAATATTGTCATACTAGTCTTTGAAAGCTCTCTTGTCTAGTGACAATGTTTCTGGCTCATAGATCATAACTGTATTCATGATGCAGGAGATTTACTGGCATTAGTAGACGCTGAAATAAAAGCTTACTGATTACCACTTGGTGGTGGGCGGGGGTTCATAACCTGATTATTCCTACTTTGTATTTCCTGGGAGAAGTTTTCTGTTGGACTGGGCTCCTTCCAAGCTGTTCTGTGGTACAATGATTTCTACTTGCTTTTAAAGTAGCATTTTTTTGTTTTTCCTTGGTTATGTTTTAGTCTTAGTCCATTTTATAGTGCATACTGTGTAGTTCCTAAATAATTTTTGTTGATTAGCCAGTGAAATGATTCTACTTTGTTTTAACCCCTGTTTCAGTAGTTCAGTGAGAAGTGGTGACAGTTCAAAAAGTACCAGAAGAAGAGATATAGAACACTAATCTAAAATCCAATTTAATGAACATTGAGTATTGGCCAACAATTCTTACAGTTAATTCTATGAATTACTTAGAAATAGAGATTATACATTTAAAGAAGAAAGGATGCAAAAAAATTAGTTCTTAATTTCCTATTAACTGCAATCTTGAGACAATATTAATAGTGCCAAATATGTTTCTACTGAACCTACCTTTTGTGCAAGTATAATACGCATCCTCCAAAATGATGAGCTGTTAAGTGTGCAAGATTACCTACTTTTTTTTGGCAGTGTTGTTGATGGAACCCAGCATCTCATGATTGTAAGACCAGTGTTCTGCCACTGAGCTAAATTTCTCACCCTAGAGGTGACCTAATTTAAAGATGAGAAGATTGAATATAATCAGGTTTCCTTTAATCTGAAACAATTCAGTCATTTCAAGTTACAGATAGTTAATAATTTAATCAAAATATAGAGTGGGTTTATTTAAAATTCTTTTAAAATGACACTAGTATTTAGGAAAACATGTAGAATTTTAAAAATTTGCAACAGTTTACCTAACATCAATTTGCAGCTGATCAAACTGCATGATATTCAGATTAAGCAGCTGGTAATATCAGTAATGTTTAGCTGCTTTGAAGTATATTCCTACTTTGAGAGAAACTAATCAAAAGAGTAGACTTACAAAAGCTTTTACACAAAATTCATCTGTGACTAAGGGGTTCTATAGCTTCTTAAATTCCAGTCTAAGATGAAAAAGCATTTTTCCAGGGAATTAAGTACAGCGTGTATGTGAACTTATTTTAGGTAAGTTCCATCTTCCTTACTGCTGTTTCTGTTTTCTGTGTCCACCCTCCCTTTTACATTGTTACATTGACATTGTTCAGTATCTGAAGGATTTATCAGTATTAGAAATTTTTTTTTGTCAACTTGGAAATGGATGAAGTTTTCATATGTAGTAGATCATACAGTGCTTTATTATAATAGTTTGTAAAAACACCTAGTTCTGTTTGTCTTCATGCTTTTGTGGATGAGGACTAATAACTGTATTTGAAAATGCACATAGTTGGGACTGGGAATTCAGCTCATAAGTGCCTGCCTGGCAGGCCTGAAGTCTTGAGTTCAATCCCTGGTACATAGTTGTGGTGGACCATGTCTGTAGCCCTAACACTTGAGAGGCTGAGGCAGGAGGATGGCTCAGGTTTCAGGCCTGCCTGGGCTTCATAGTGAGTTAAAGCAATCCTGACTACCTAGTAAGACATTATCTCAAACTCCACCTCCCAAATTATATAAGTATCTTGAAAAGCATAAAGTATACAGTTTTCTGTCATGCTAAGATTTTACAGTGATTTATTCCTACTCTTGTGTGATGTTTACATTAATGGTACTTCATTAATGGATGGGACTTATAATGGCTATATAAATTTTTATTTATAAGCCATATACACAATACTTTGTAGTTAACTTCATTTTCTTTTTGGAAGCAGTGAGGATATGATTATGAAAAAGACATTCTCTTTCTGGCCACAGCAGACATTTCTATTGTGTGACCTTAAGGAATGGAATCATTTCTAAAATCTGTGTGGCATAGCACATACTTACTTTTGTATTTCAGGTACTTACGGAGTTGTATATAAGGGTAGACACAAAACTACAGGTCAAGTGGTAGCCATGAAGAAAATCAGACTAGAAAGTGAAGAGGAAGGGGTTCCTAGTACTGCAATTCGGGAAATTTCTCTATTAAAAGAACTTCGTCATCCAAATATAGTCAGGTATGGTATGCTATCTGAACTTAAGCTATTTTCTGCATCCTATTTCAATGTAAGTTTCAATCTGGAAAATAGTACAATTTCTTAATTTTCAGTCTAACCTTGCTGAGTGAAACAAAGAACTACTCTTTATTGATTGTGAATGCTGGGCATAAGTAAAAATAATCCGTTACAGCAAGAACAGAGTTAGAGGGGCTTAGTTATAAAAATCTGTTTTGGGAGCTGGGAAAGCAAGGTAAAGTGGACTTGAAAGAAGCCTGGAAAAACTTTGTCAACTAGCTCCAACTCTGGGATCTCTGGTCCTAAAAATGACTCTCTTTAAAGTTTATTTGTATCACTTGCTTAAATAGGAGAACACTCTCTGAGCAATGGATAGCTAATCTAAACTCATTATTTTGGAATACAGCTTATTAATAATGTAGCACCTCCTATATAATAAAATTTGTTTTCCTGATATTCTCCTTTCAAATTCTAGGTTTATATTAAATTTTTTTTCCTGCTATTTCTAAAATTTATTAAAAAATAAAAAATAATAAAAAAGGAGATTAAGATAAAAGAGGACATAACAACATAACAACACAGGTCAGAAAAGAACAATTTAAGCAACATAGTGTTTCACCACAAGATAACCCGACATAACAGTAGTTACCATAGTATCTCTTTCCTTGAAATATTTGAGTATAACTTTGTATACTATAGCATCAAACATATCAAGATAGTATAAAACCATTCAAGAGAATGAAAGTATTGCCGGGTATTTAGAACCAACTAACAAAAAATGAACAATGGTTTGTATATTATCTCCTTGTCTATAAAAAATTTTGTTTATACTATCACATATAATAAAACCCAATAAGATACAACATGATAAAACCGATGGATACAGAAGAACAAGAGCTGGATGGGACTTCAAAACATATTAAATCAGCACCAGCTATTATAATGTCTTGTTTTCTTCAAAATAGCTGTTCATACCATCACAGACAATAAAATCAAACAATCCAAAATAAAACCATTCCAATTAATGAAACCATTATAAGGCTTCAAAGCAATATAATGGGGAATCATGATTACCACATACTTATGGATTCTTATTTCTTACACTAGGGAAACTGTTAGGTATTTATATATGTGAGTTTGATTTATTTTGTTTATGAGTATGGTCTCAGCAGCTTGAGACTATATTAAAGTTTTTGTATAGTTTGGGAGCTACCATCTCTTTCCCCACTTTGATAATTGTTACTTTTTGTGAAAGAGAAATTGAAAATGTTTGCTGGGATTTTTCTTTCATATGCTTATTTTTATCCTTCAGTCTTCAAGATGTGCTTATGCAAGATTCCAGGTTATATCTCATTTTTGAATTCCTTTCTATGGATCTGAAGAAATACTTGGATTCTATTCCTGCTGGGCAGTTCATGGATTCATCACTTGTTAAGGTAAGAAACTTAACTACTTCTATTAATGTTTACATGGTGTGAATGAAGTCTTCTCTATACAGAAGTCCTTGAATTTTGTGGGAATATGCTTGGAAAGAGTATTTCACTTTCCTCGCATACAGATTAGATTGACATTTACCAATCAGCTAGTATATCTAGTAAATGAAAAGTGATCCCTGTGATAACATGAAATGGGAAATAATACTATGTGTTATATTTGTGAATTCCGATCTTTCTTTGGTTCTCAGATGAGTTTAAAATAGCAAAGACCTGGAGCAGGCTTTATTTTATTCAAGTTTAAAATAGGTTTTCAAGCTGGCTATGGTTGTACATGTCTATAATCCCAGTACTCAGGAATCTGAGATAGGAAGGTGAAATTTTTGAGGCTGGTCTGGGCTAGCTTGCACTACTTAGGCATCCTGTTTTTAACAGCCAGGTGGAAAAAAAAGATATGTTTTGGTTAATAATAGTCTAGATATTTATAATATTTCATGTAATTTAAAAACATATTAAAATGTGTAAAGCAACAGTATTTTATTCTTATACTAACTTTTAACTGACCGTTCTTCATAGATAGCTATTGTTAATTTTATTTGTACTCTTATAGGCCTCTTATGCAAATGAAATTTTATATATTCATATGCATAAACTAGCCCTCTTTGATGTAAACTATTATCAGATATGTACATTTTTCTGTATCTGCTTGCATTTCTTAGAATTATTTAAGCCATTTCTATGTTTATGAACAGGTTGTTTTCTAGCTCGGTTCTTATTAACTATGCTACAGTGAATATCTTTGTATGCAACTTTTTAAGGATACATTTTTATTATGGGAAAAGGCATACTAATATTTTTTATTTGACATTTAACCTTCTTTGTTCATTTATAAGTAGCCAGTACTTGCTCACTGGTTTTAGTAATTTCTTTCGTTTACTTTTCTTTTTTATCTTTTCCTTATTAGTTGTGTTTACTGTTAATAACTTTCTAATATATGTAAAAAATGCCTTGTCTGACTTGGATTTTCAGTTTTATGTCTTTAAGCCTTCCTCACTTGAAGGTCACATATATCAGAAGAGTAAATGACAATATTTTTCTAAAACTTTTAGTTGACCTCCAACTCCCCCCCCACCCCATGCCTTGTCTGTCTTAATTCTGACAGACTTAACTTTGGTGTAAGAATTAGTTGTAAATCGAACTTTATTTCCAAACAGCTGATTGTCCTAACTGGTTTTATGTGTTTGTGTTTTCTAATTTCACATTTTCCAGTCAGCATTTTATTGTGTAAGATATTTCTGTAATACCCGTGTTGCTTCAAGTGTTACATTGTCTTTGATGTTTCTCATTAAACACCTATTTCTGAACTACTAAATAGCAATTTATGATTAATCTGTTTAAACATGTAGTCAATATCCTATCTGCCGTTTGTTTTGAAATACTTGACTCATGTTTCCAATGAGGAAGTGCATGTGTAAAGAAGAAAAGTAGAAATGAAAAAGACCAACTTTATTCAATATATAAACAGCTAATATAAACATTTAGAAGAAAATTCTACGTAAACTATTGAGATTTAAGATAGGGCGCAAAAAATGAGTAATAATGGATTGAGTTTGTGGATACAAATATGTCTGTAGGTAAATATCTTTCTTTTGATTACACACAAATGCTTATTAGTTTAAAATATCTGGAAATCTTTTTTGGTAAATATTTTCCTGTGTCATAGTATCTTAGGTCTTTTAAACAAATGGAGTAAACACTAGTTAGAAAAATTATTTGTAGTGTGATGAAGTTTCTTATATTCCCTTTTCCAGAGTTATTTGTACCAGATCCTTCAGGGTATTGTATTTTGTCACTCTAGAAGAGTTCTTCACAGAGACTTAAAACCTCAAAATCTGTTGATTGATGACAAAGGAACAATTAAACTGGCTGACTTTGGCCTTGCTAGAGCTTTTGGGATACCTATTAGAGTATATACACATGAGGTAAGTAGAATAGTGTTTTTGGTGCTTTTGAATGTGTGCTTGCTGAATTGCTTCCTGTATTTAAGTTAAGAAAAAATACTCAATAAGAAAAGATTTTTACTCCATGACAATATCAATTTATTGTTTCTCAGCTCCAAGTTCACCCTTTGTAACATGCTATATGAAAATAGAACTGGAACCTTGAAATATTTCCCCTTTTGCCAGCAGCTGTATTAGAGGCATTTAAAGTTGTCACTATTTCTTAATAATCTCATTTATTCATACCCCCATTGGTTTTCTTTCTTTTTTTTTTTTTGTACCGGGATTGAACTCATGAGGCAGGCACTTATGCTACTGAGCATAAGTGCTCAATATAATTCTTTCAATTAAACTTTTCCCATTCAACTGTGTAGTTTCTGTCTCCTGAGTGAACCTTGGCTGATACACAATCATTGATTACAAAATAGATTTCTTTGTGTAAGAGGTAGTATTTCTGATACATGATACATTTAGAAGTCATTACATAGTCCTCTCTTTCTTATTCTCCCCTCCTCTCTCCTCCTCTCTTCTCCTTTCATTATGATACACTAAGATGGATAATTAGTTCTAGATTACTGATAAACTTATTTGACTAGATGTGCTCTTAATTTGTGTTAACGTGGTAATCTGAATTGTCATGTAAGCAGTACCTGCTGTTTCTATAATACCATCTCTAAGTCTCAAGCCCATTATTAGTTTTTTGTTTAGGAAAACATTTGACCTATAACTTTTGATATTTCTGCTTTTGATATTTGGAATGCAAGAAAAGATGAATGTGTTCTGCTTCCCTACCATGAAGAGAACTCAGAAATATTTATTAATTTATAGAGTTTATTTGCTTTAACAGTACTATTGCTAACCATTGTATAGCTTTCTGAAGAACAGTTCTTATGAAATATAAATGTTTAACATTAGATAACTTAATGCAGATTTACTCACTATAAAACTTGCCTTGCATTAGGTAGTAACACTCTGGTATAGATCTCCAGAAGTATTGCTGGGGTCAGCTCGGTACTCTACTCCAGTAGACATTTGGAGTATAGGCACAATCTTTGCAGAATTGGCAACTAAGAAACCACTTTTCCATGGGGATTCAGAAATTGATCAACTGTTCAGGATTTTCAGGTATTGTTATTTTAAGCCTAAGCTGTTAAAATCTTTTGTGTTAAATAGTAAAGTTGATATATGTAACATAGTCTCTGTTGCCACTGTTTTTAGAGCTTTAGGCACTCCCAACAATGAAGTATGGCCAGAAGTGGAATCTTTACAGGACTATAAGAATACATTTCCCAAATGGAAACCAGGAAGCCTAGCATCCCATGTCAAAAACTTGGATGAAAATGGCTTGGATTTACTCTCGGTAACCATGACTACATCTTAAGCAAGATATACTTTACTGACTTTAATATTAGTGCTAGCTCTGAATATATTTAGTATTCTCTGAATGGCTCTGTATGTCTTCAGTATTCTCTAAATGTATTCAGTCCTTTCTTTTCTAGGAAAGAGGAAATCTGGCATGTTTTGAGCTTTTATTCACCTGTGCTTTGGCAGTACTGGGGATTGAACCAAGGGCCTCAGCTATATTTTGATTTTAACCTTATAGGTTGCTCTGTAAACTCCAAAGGAGATACCCAGGATTATATACTTGATATTTTTGCTTTTCTTTGTGATGCTGAGGTCTTAGACTTGTTTTTTAAGCCTTCCACTCCTGAGCTTTATCTTTGTTCTTTTCAAATTGCTGTAGTTTTCTTTTTTTCCTGGCTTTTTGTCTCAATGTTTACCAGTGAGCCCTTTTTTTAGTTTATCCTGAAAAGAAGTGCTTTTTTGTCCTTAATATTTTTAGTTATAAAACTCTTTTCACTTTGTGTACAGTTTTCTCCATCTGAACATTTAGGACTGATATAGTTCTTAATCTTTCTCCTGTATTACATTTCTACTTCCCATTAATAATTGTTTCATTTAAAAATGACAGAGAAATTTACCACTGGAAGAGAAAAGCTTGCTTTAAAAAGCTTACTTTAGGACAATATTTAAGCTTTGAATTTTCAGAGGACCAATTTTTGTAAATCTCAGGTAACTTGATAAAATAGATAAAACAGAATAAAGAAAGCAGGTCTAAACAACAGAAATATCCATTGCTGTATCAGCAAATACAGTTTTTAATTGGTCATTGAGCTCCTTTCAAAATCTATAAATCATTACGTCACCAAATTAAGCTCAAATTTTTCATTTGCTTATAGTGAAATCCAAAATCCTTTACCTATGTACGTGTCAGATTTCCTGTCACTAAGATGAGATCTGAAACACCTATAATTTAAAAGAAAAAAAAGAGTTTATTTTGGCACATAGTTTCTGTGGGCTCAGTCCATGGTTTGCCAACACCAGGATAGAAATAATCATGATGAAGGAGACTAGTGGATGAAAGCAACTTGCATAGTAAATGCCAGGAAGTAGAGAGAGACTATTTGTTAGTAGTGGACTAACATACTCAGTATAGCAACCCCATAATCCAGTGACCTTTCAAAAGTCCCACCTCTGAATACATGGGACTTTGGGAAGACACTTTTAATCTAAATCATAAATTATTTTATGTTACCAGTATAGTTGACTATCTTACGTAGCTTACATTAAAGTAATGGAAGTGTTCTAGACCCAACCTGCCGTTAACTCCTAAACTTCTCAAACATAATAAATTTTATTTCAGTTAATGAAACAAAGGCAGTCCTTCATGAATCAGTTTTCTCTGTTTAGCCACGATTGACATCTTGGCTAGATTGTTCTTTGGACTGTCGCGTGTATTGCAGCATAACTTGTTAGTGTTATAGACTTTGGCAGGTTGTTTAACTTCTTAGGTTTGGTGTTCTCATTTGTAAAATACTTTTGGTGAGTATACAGTGCTGAATATGTAAAACTCAAATGGTAACTGGTGAGTAAAAGTATCTAATGTGTGCGTCTATTTGGTCTTCTTTACAGTTAATATTTCTTAAATACCAAGCTTCACTGACCTTTTTCTGGTAATGTGAAAATTAATACTAGTTGCCTGGTGGTAATTCACTTTAATTCATTTTAGTAAGACATTGTACTGTGGGGTTTTCTTTTGTTTTTAACGTGTAGCTTCTTAGAAACTATATGAAAAAACCACAGTAGTCAACTGCCACTGTTTTAAGAATGTGGTAAATACCTTGGATGGACATTTAATTCTTAAGTATATTTAGCTAGATATCTTTCCTACATGAATGCCTTGGTTTTAGACCTATCTCTGAATTCTGTGTCTTGCTATGATTTATAACAAAATGATTATGAAGATACTTCATATGAATAAAGAGCAGATTATTCTGGACCTAGAAGGTGACGTGGAGAAATGAGGCATTCATGTAGCTTGTGTTAAAGTAATGGAAATGCTCATTTAGTACATTTTACCAAAATTATTAGCAAATTGTTTATTGATTTAAAAATTAAAGCTTTATAAATTTTGTTTGTTTTCTAAGATTATCTTCCCATTTCCTTTTTTCCCCCAGAAAATGTTAGTCTATGATCCTGCTAAACGAATTTCTGGCAAAATGGCACTGAATCATCCGTATTTTAATGATTTGGACAATCAGATTAAGAAGATGTAGGGTTCTGACAAAAAGTTTCCACACATTATAATCCAAGATGAATAGTTATATTTTTACTGTTGATTCTTTTTTGTTTGTTTGTTTTCTACATTTTTCTTCTTTGCTGTACAACTGAAACTATACTTTACTTTCTAATTTCAAAATATAACTTAAACATGTAAATATTGTTCTATATAAATTTAAATGTAATTCTGTATATGTGTGTAGATCTCACTGTGACATTTATTTGCTACTACAATAAACTCTAAATCTAATACTGGTGTCAGGCGTTGGGGAGATTTTGAACTAGTTTAAATCATCTCTGTCTTTATAGTAATTATATTTTCCTGTAGCTGGAAATAGTGAAATTTAGGTAAATGTGCTAAGTTCAAGTTTCATAATTGAAGTATTTTTATACTCTGAATGTTTAAGTTTTCTGGTCTGTTTCTTGCCATGTGTTAGCTATACAACCTGCTTAAAGATGAATATTTTTTACTGGTATTTTAGCTTTGACCTAAATGTTTTAAATATTCAGGATGAGAGTGCTATAGAGATCTGAGAAATGATGCTAAATTTATGGGGTTTTTCAGTAACTTATAAAACTAACATTAGAGCATGCCAAAGTTTGCTCAGTTTTATAGTCTGAGATCAAGAGCTGTCCACAGCAGGGAAGAACAGTTTGAAAATTTATGAACTATCCTATTTTTAGGTACATTTTGAAAGCTGTTTGTCTAAGTGAATTCTTATGCTTTGGCCAGAAGTAATAGCTATGAAGGAGTTGCTTATCTTGGCTTTCAGGTCTGGCTTTACTTACAAATGTTGACAATGTTGTCAATTAGCAGCCTTCTATAAAATGTTCTAATACATATGTATTCAGCTAACATCTCTAATCCTGCGAATTATTATTTTTACCTATGAGCACCCTAGTTTAAATTATTTGCTATAGTCAAGAGAAATGTATATAAATTAGTTTTATTTCTGTTTTAGGATGTATCTAATCCTAGGATGTGTTGCTTTACTGAACACATTTTTTTCTTTGTTTTTTTCCTGCTTATTTATGACTTGCATCTGCATTCCTATGTTATTGGTTCTCTTAGGTTAGTTGGATGTGTAATGAATGATCTGTCTTATCCTTTTGCACTTGTAGGTGAAAGTGTTAAACACTTTCTTTGGCATTGGGACAGTTGGCCGTTGTTTTCCTTGTTCTAGGAATTAATGGGAAGCCATTGCTGTAAAAGAATGCCTAGCCTGCAGATGGAAGTCATTTGGAGTCATATTAGGGAAAGTTGTTAAGGGTTCATGGTAGGAATTTAGGAATTGAAAAGTCACACAAAAGATTTCAGATGGTGCAGTAGTGTGCGTACAGGCCTGTATTTTCGGTAGAAGTGGGACATTGAAGTAGAACTATTTTTAAAATTGCAGCACTAGTAATTCAGAATCAGCATTAACCATTAGCGTAGAAGCCATCAGTGTATCCTATATATACTCTTGTTTCAGTAACACAGATATGAGATAAATGTTTGGCTTTTTGACAACAACAACAAAAAAACAAAACAAAACAAAACAAAACCCTAAATGTTTGGGTCTTTAAAATATGGCAGAAGGACTTCACTCAGTGAAGTCTAATTGTCCAAACGCCAATGATGTACCCACCCATTTAGGACTGCTTTAGTAGACCAGGGCAAGAAGATAGATGGTAGAACACTGGCATTGCCCTAAGGTTTGACCTACTTTTGATCCTGCTTTTCAAATATTTGTGTAATTACGTAAAGTATATTAGTTTCAGTGGCAATGAAAAGGTACTGAATCTGGTACTCAACTCATGCATATTTTTAAATAAAATTGTGTTGTAGGGGCTCTGCTAATTTTAAAATGAGTAGGCCATTGGTTTTTGCTGTTTCTGACCTGGGCCAGTTCACCTCTCCTTAGGCAACCTTGTGGCCCCCTGTTCCTAGAGATCACCATATTGATGCAGAATTTAGTGCAGACACCACACTGCATAGCACTTTGCAGCCCAGAACTCCTGGAATTGAGCGATCACCTAAACTCCTGAATAGCTGGGTCTGTAAGGGTAGGCTATCACATGTGACTAGGCCACTGGTTTTTAAATCTGTAGCGTGCAGGAAATACCTGGGAGCTAACTCTGGCACTACCCTAAACCATTCTGATTTTGAAACTGGGAAATGCATCCCAGGATTATATTTGTTTAAAAGCTTCCCAAGCACATTATGATGAAGCTTGTTAGCAATTGGAGGTGAGTTTGAGGACTTCGGACATGTATCAGATTTTGTCTTAAAATTCCATAGCATCATCATGCAGTATTTCAATTCTATTTCTGATTCAGTCTATGCCTCAGAGGAAGAAGTGGACTATGTATTATATATAACCTCAATGAGAACTTTATGGTCTTGAGCACAACACTGTAATTACTGGAAATCTTAAATGTTATCTATCCTTTGAGGTTTTTTCATTTTTTACATTTAAATACATCAGCAATAAAGACGCAGAGCAGTCAATACAAAACATAAACAATTACATGTATAAGCGTGGCATATCTAAATTATAAGTTCTAAAATAATAGTATTTTAGAAGAGTTAATAAACCTAATAAAAGTTCTCCTAGGGACTTAGATTAAAAGCTAAAATTTTAATTAGTTAAATGTTTTAAAGTGCTTGAAGAAACTTGCAAGTTACTGGATGAAATAAACTAGTTCTATAGCAAGATATGGTCCATAATATGTCCCATTTCATTTTTTTTTTTACAT